GTCAGCTTGTTTGCATACTTGGCTGTTGATAACGGGGTGTCTTCCGAGTCAACTTTTTTGCCGGGTGTATTCACATCTCAGCTATTCGCACACACCCTGCGCTACTCGCGCATACCCGGCGCTACTTGCACATGCCCAGGCACACTTTCGCGTACTTTGGGGCATAATGCACGCACATATTCGCGCATATTCGTACATACCCGCGCGCACTCGTGCATACTCGCGCCCGCGCATGCTCGAAAACGCATATACTCGCGGTGTCGTGGCGCTACTTTAGTCCCCCTCATGCAGTCGCACGTCGGTGGAATTTCGGAGGTATGTGATGTTGTTGTTGGCGTATGCAGCGCAAGTGCGCATACGGGTTAACCTGACGGCTAGGTCCGCTCAGTCTTTTGCTGCGGCTTGCTACTGCAAAGCTGCAGAGCCAGCAGGCTTCGGAGGTATGTTGTTTGTTTTTTTTTCGTTTGTTCTTTGCAATCATGGCAGAAAGGTTCCGAAACCCTGCTATACTATGCCAATGACGTTCCGACGTTCCGATGAAGCCGACATCGTCTCAGGATCCCAGGTCGTTAAAGAAACGCGGCCGACACCCCAAAAACACACGATTATGCAGATGGGATGTCATGTTGTTCGTCATTTGACAAGCAATTGGAAGCTTGCCCACACTTCAGGCTATTGCAACAACAAAGCGCTCGGTCAAGTTTCGAGTCTGAATTATGAGGCCCAAAGATCAATCAGTGCCTGCCAATGAGTACATGTTTAGCGCACAAACATATGACCCTTCAGCATGTTGCGCAAGTTGAGTTTATCGCAGACGGCGCCGTTTTGCGCACAGATCTTTGATGCAGACTGTCATGTGACTTGGGACAAGGATTCAGGACCCCTGTATACACCGAGGGGGCAAATGTCGAAGCAATCAAGACCTGCACTGTTTTCAAGGGATTCGTTTGCTTATGCGTGTCAGCAAACCCCGTTCAACCAGTGCATGTTGAAGCTGCCACGTGGCAGTCTGGGACAGCATGTTGTTAAGCTTTTGCTGTGAACCCTCAGCCAAGAGTGGCCAACTGTCCATTTTTTCCGAGCATACGTCTGTCTTGGTCATGGCCAGATTCAATCTTGCATTTGGCCCGCAGCACGATCACCGCTGCGCCATTGCACCGGCACGCGGTCCAGCCAGCTTGAATGCTGTGCTTGTCCAGGCGGGGCGCAAGAACTTGTGTTTGTTTTTACAGTGGTGATGTGGCGTGACAGGAAAGTCTTCTCTCTTGGATGCGGGCGACGACGACCCGCCTCCAAGACGCATCCCTCCCATTGGGTCCTCACACGAGTGCATGGAAGATCTTGGGAGCTGGGAGGTACCGGGTAACGCTGAAGAAGCAGGTCGGCCTAGCCGCGCTTTCTTGCTTACTGTGTCTTTTACGGCGGGCTGGAGCCTCCAGTGGCTTCACCGCTTGATTTCGGGAGGCCTTGGAAGAGCGCTTCGGGATCGTGATCACCTACACCAAGCGCGGCGAAGGCGCGGGGCGGCGGCACGGCACGCCGCGGCGGCTCTTTTTCCTTCCTGGAGGCTTGCTGATCAAAGACGTGGGCCAGGAGTCCGCCGTCTTGCAGTGACCTGCCTCTGACCAAAGAGACGGGGAGCCACCCGCGGCTCTACTGCTACGTCTCAGGTGGACCCGAGAGCATCCCGATCGTCCTATCCGTATCGGCTGCGCCATCCTTGCCATCAATGGGTTCGCAGCTTATATACTTTGCTTCGGCATTTGGAACTTGGAGCGGACGGCCGGACGGCCCGGGGCTCTCTGAGGGAAGATCAGATTGAGCTGATGCTGGAGCAGCTGCACAGCTCCTGCAAACTGGTCCCTGAGCGGCAGAGCACGGAGCGGAGCGCGCCGCGGTCCGCTGCTTCTCTTCTCGACTTCCGAGGATTTGCTGATCACTGCAGAACTGACTGCCAGCCAGCAGCAGACGCTACACAGGTCACTGCAGAAGACAGCCGCAAGTTCGCAGAGGATATGCGGCCAAGTTTTGCTTTCGCTTCGAAGCTGTAGACTCAGGTACCCTCCTTCGTGGTGGAGTCGCTTCCTCGTGCTACTCTCCTGAAGCTCAGTCAGCTGAGACCCTTGACGGGCCCTAGAGATCTAAGGTTGCAGCGGACGAAAGCGCCGAGAAGGATATCTGCGCCATCTGCCTCTCGCCATTGTCAGCGAGAACTTCCAGTCAGCTGGGCGATTCATTTGCTGAGGCTTTGAAGAGTTGGAGTCTGGTGACGATGCGAGCTCCCTGCCGGTGCAACTGCCTTGCGGGCATCTCTTTCACGCTGCCTGCGCCGCCTGGCAGCCAGAAAGCGGGGTTGTTTTGCGGCAGCGGGGGGGGGTTTTGGAGGTGAAGACCTGGCTGGTGACGAGGAGCCGTCGCTGCCCGATGTGCAACCAGCGGGAGCCTCGGACCGAGTGCGGCGGAGCCTTCGCAGCGCAGCCTTCCGCAGGGATGTGGAGCTGAAGCTCCCAAGGAGCGCTTCGCCTGCGCTACCTCGCGAGGCCGTTTCAGCCAGGCTCTCCGGGGCTTCCTGCTTCGCTCGCGAGGTGTTACCGGAAGCATCTCTGGGGTTCCACCATTGAGGGATTGAAGCTAATTAGACCTCGAGATCCCCGCAGAATTCATGCGGATGCGGGGACGCGTTCACAAGGAGCGCAGCCCCGCCTCAGCAGAGTTTATGTGCAAAATTGCACGCGAGTGTAGTGTCTATGTATGCGTCTAACCGCCTAATAAGGCCCTAAGTTACTAAGTTTACTAGGCCACCTAGGTCCCTGAGTCCCTAAAAGTATTTAGTGATTTAGTGCAGCTGGGCCTTTGCCAAAAGCAGCGGCTCGGAGGCTCGGCTTAGGCTCGGCCTCCGCCGCCGAGCCCCCGCAAAAAAATGCAGAGCTGAGCAAAAAGAGTCGAGCCGCTTGGTGAATTGGTGAACAGCTGCGAGCAGCCGAGGTGCATATACTTGCCTTTTTTATGATTTATCCACCTGCAGCTCCATCGCTGTCTCCATCTCGCCGATCCCAGACCCTGTACCTACATCTAGCCCATGTCTATACCCATACCGATTCCTCTTCCGATTCCAAAACCTGTACGCAGATACCTGGTTACCTATGTATCTACCTAGCTTTTTGTTTGTGTATGTCTTTGTCTGTAGCTATACCTATACCTACATCTACCTATATCAGCGTTTCAGTATCTACATCCAAATCGAGGCCCAAACCTCTGTTTCGGCTGGTGGTCTGGTGGGGGTTGGGGGCGGGGGTTGGGACCCCAGGGTCACCAAAAAAGCAGTGTGCAGCTGTAGAGAAAGGATGGCACGCTGGCAGCACTAGATCTCCTGTGCATGTGCAGACGGGTGGAGACCCTCCAGACCCATGGAGAGAGCGGAGGCCAACCGCCGACCTTAGAGGCACCTTCCACAGCGGATCGCAGAAACGGCCTCGGTGGAGCGATCTTCATGCAGAACAAAAAGACCTAGGCAAAGCCGCCTGTGGAACAGCATGGAACCCTTGGCTGCCTACTCGTCCACCTGCCCTGAGGTGACAGCCCGTCCGTAAACTCTTGCACTCATTACCTTGAAGCGCTTAAAACCTGCATGCAGCCGTCCGGACAGCATGCATCGGCCGATCCACATCCCCCAAGCTAGCAAGGGCCCCAACAACAGGCCTAAGACGGAAGACTGGTCTAGCAACTGGGTCCTGAAGGCCCGCGGCAAAAGATTCCAGCGTACTCTCCATGCAACTTCAATTTCGCCCATGTGTGGTGCGGCAAGGAGGACTGGGCATAGACAACGAGGGGAACCATCCTGACGATCTCAGCACACCAGCTCCAGCCCATCTGCTTCAAGCACAGTGCACATCGGAACAGCCCTCCAGACTCGATGGCCGTTGCCTCACAGCTTTACTTCCTTTGTCCCAAAATGCCCGGGAAGTGAAACCACATCCCCAACTCTGCGCGCTACAAGCAGGAGTCTACAGACCCAGGGCAGGCTCCCCGTTGGCAGAACAGCACCCGTTCCGGCGGGATCAGCTCCTGCTCTCGCTTCTGGGGAGCTGGGCGGCCTCCTGCTCTGAAGTACTGGAGGCCCCGTCTTCGCAAGCCATGACCCTGTCTTCACCGGAGCCAAGCCATGAACCCCCCCATCCGTTCGGCAGACGCCGGAGATGGCCCCAGGGCTCGGCTGCAAGACCCGCAGCGAGCACAAGCTCGCACCGCGGAGCAAAGTCTCCCCACAACAGTCCCAATTGTGAAGCCGGCCATACCGGTCTGGCAAACAAGCAAACGAGGCTTCGAGAGTCTAGCTCGCACCCAGTTCCTACGTGCACCCGCGTCCGGTCGACCGCAGGCAGCAACTCAGCAAGCTGCTGCAACGGTACCACCGCGCACAGTTGGCGCGCCTAGTTAGCAAGGCACTTGAGCATATGAATTAAACTCAAACACGCACCAGTACACAACACCCACCTGTCCTCATGTCAGCTCACAATGTATATGTATATGCATATGTATACGTATCTGTATAGGTATAGGTAAAGGTATAGGTATGGGTTATGGGTATAGGTACAAGTGCAGGTATACCTACAGGTCTATGGGTCTGTGTCTGTGGCTGTGTCCGTATCTGTACCTGTCTGTGTGTTTGTTTGTATTGCGACCTCCATCTCCATCTCTATTCCTATCTCTATCCACTCCTATATCTATACCTGCCCATATCTTTATCTCTATTGGTATTTGTATTTGTAGTTGTATCTGTCGCATGCGGCGTACAAAGATCTGCCATTAGCTGGAAGTGTGCATTTGACAAAGCAGCTGTGTGTGCATACGAAGGCTGAACATCGCCTGAACGCCGAGTTGGGACCCGGGCCCGGGGAGGGCGCGGGGCTTTGTGACAGCTCCGCACATCGCAGCCAGGGCTCCCAGAGCATTCCTTTACATGGCAATGGCCCAATGGCAGGGCTCAAACGACAGCTGGAATGAAAGATGACTGGGGTCAATGGAGCCAGTGGAACCACCAGGCCATGGGCCCCCCGGGGCCGCCAGCTGGCCCTTCTCCTTTCCCGGCCCCGGTGCTGCAGATGATGAGTCTCGCAAGCTGGCCGTCGATGGTTTCTAACATGATGCTCGGCCACCCTCTCCCCAACCCCCAGGGGGAGCAAGCTGAGCATGAAGAGAAGAGATACGATGGCACGGTGAAGTGCTTTTATGGTGAGAAGCACACAGGCCATGGCTTCATCTTTTGCCCAGAGATCTACAACCGCACCGGTCAAGATGTGTATTTGCATGCACGGCAAGCACACCGGTGTGAAGTGGGGGATGAGGTTAGTTTCACAGTGGTCTTCAATTCCAGACGAGAGCCGCAAGCTCGATCCGTCGTGAAGAAAGAGGAGGAAGGAAAATTCCTGTCGAAGAAGCGGGAGGAAGCCGAGAGACAAGCGAACGCCTTGCAGATGAAGCGGCAAAGGCCGAGCATGAGCTCCGCTTCGGCCTCCTCCGCCACCGGGGCCTCGACCTCCGAGGCTGTGATGACGGAAGAGCAGGCCCGGAAGTTCCAGAAGTCCCTCCAAAAGGGAAGGTGAGATGGTGAGACGCGACGGCGACTCGGCGACCAGTGACCACGGCCGTTCTTCAGCCGGAAATGGAGCCTGCGCCCGTCGTGCCCCTGCCTCCAAAGTCGCACTTGCGAAACATATTCCTCCGCAGCAGCTTCACCGGCTTGCAGCTCCTGCTTCATGCAACCCATCATGTCACCCTCAGGCCCCTCGTGTGCTGTTGACATCCTGAACTCCTGAACCTGCCATGGAAGTGGCACAGTGGTACGACCGGCAGATGAAGGCGCGCCGCCGGGAAGAAGCGCAGCAGTGCCGCGGCGTGTCGTGAGCGGAGGCCCGGCCGCTCTTCACCAAGGCAATGCTTTTTGTCAAAGAGAGAGAGGGCCGGGCCGCAAGGGGCTTTTTCTGCTCCAAAGAGCTGAGACGGGTTGGGGTTGGGATTCCGCTGGCGGCGGGAGGCCCTGAGCTCCTCCTTCCTGGCGGCCTGCAGCTGTGTGCCGGCACTCGGAGAGAGCCGAGAGAGCCCTGAGAGCCCTTCGCCGTTTCGAGGCGGTGGCGCAGGCGCTTCGGTGCCTCGGCACGAAGGGAGCGTTTTCCGTGAGCTGGGTGAGCTGGGTGAGCGCGTGCACGCAAGGCGCCGTGCGTCTTTGCGGGAGCTGGCGAGCTTCACTTTGCAGGCGCAGCTGTGCCCTGTGCCCACTGCGCCCCGCTCGCCGCGAGCGGGTTCCCTCGCGACCGGCGGCGGTGCGTGTGTGTGTGCCGTTTCGAGGCCGCGCCGCCTTTTGGTCATCTCTGGTTCGAGCTCTTGGAGGCGTCCAGCAGGGCTTGCGGGGCGAGGGCTTGGGCATGAGCTCTGAGGCGAAGCTGGGGTTCGGATCCTCAGACCGCGGTTCTCTCCGAAGCGAAGCGCTCCGCTCCGCTCTGCAAAGCCGAGGCCGGGCAGGATCCTCCTGAAGACCCTCGTGGACCCCGGGCCCCCGCCGCACAAGAGCAGAGGGGAGAACCGAAGAAGAGAAGAGAAGAGACACGAAGAGATGTCGGGGGGGGCAGCAAAGGAAAAGACAAACTACTTTTGATAAGGTACTCAAGCCGATCACAACACGCAGCTTTTACATCCACGTGGCCATCAACGAATCCGAGCTTTCGTTCACAGAACTCATTCAGGGCTTGGCCACATAAATGGCTGCGCACATGATGCGTTACATGGGGTCACGTGCTCAACGCGACCTCTGTACGCGGAATGAAGACAGACATAAAAATTTTTTGGACCCCCGCCCCGCCGCACAAGAGCAGAGGGGAGAACCGAAGAAGAGAAGAGAAGAGACACGAAGAGATGTCGGGGGGGGCAGCAAAGGAAAAGACAAACTACTTTTGATAAGGTACTCAAGCCGATCACAACACGCAGCTTTTACATCCACGTGGCCATCAACGAATCCGAGCTTTCGTTCACAGAACTCATTCAGGGCTTGGCCACATAAATGGCTGCGCACATGATGCGTTACATGGGGTCACGTGCTCAACGCGACCTCTGTACGCGGAATGAAGACAGACATAAAAATTTTTTGGACCCCCGCCCCGCCGCACAAGAGCAGAGGGGAGAACCGAAGAAGAGAAGAGAAGAGACACGAAGAGATGTCGGGGGGGGCAGCAAAGGAAAAGACAAACTACTTTTGATAAGGTACTCAAGCCGATCACAACACGCAGCTTTTACATCCACGTGGCCATCAACGAATCCGAGCTTTCGTTCACAGAACTCATTCAGGGCTTGGCCACATAAATGGCTGCGCACATGATGCGTTACATGTGGCGACCTCTGTACGCGGAATGAAGACAGACATAAAAAATTTTTTGGACCCCCGCCCCGCCGCACAAGAGCAGAGGGGAGAACCGAAGAAGAGAAGAGAAGAGACACGAAGAGATGTCGGGGGGGGCAGCAAAGGAAAAGACAAACTACTTTTGATAAGGTACTCAAGCCGATCACAACACGCAGCTTTTACATCCACGTGGCCATCAACGAATCCGAGCTTTCGTTCACAGAACTCATTCAGGGCTTGGCCACATAAATGGCTGCGCACATGATGCGTTACATGGGGTCACGTGCTCAACGCGACCTCTGTACGCGGAATGAAGACAGACATAAAAATTTTTTGGACCCCCGCCCCGCCGCACAAGAGCAGAGGGGAGAACCGAAGAAGAGAAGAGAAGAGACACGAAGAGATGTCGGGGGGGGCAGCAAAGGAAAAGACAAACTACTTTTGATAAGGTACTCAAGCCGATCACAACACGCAGCTTTTACATCCACGTGGCCATCAACGAATCCGAGCTTTCGTTCACAGAACTCATTCAGGGCTTGGCCACATAAATGGCTGCGCACATGATGCGTTACATGGGGTCACGTGCTCAACGCGACCTCTGTACGCGGAATGAAGACAGACATAAAAAAGACAGACATAAAAATTTTTTGGACCCCCGCCCCGCCGCACAAGAGCAGAGGGGAGAACCGAAGAAGAGAAGAGAAGAGACACGAAGAGATGTCGGGGGGGGCAGCAAAGGAAAAGACAAACTACTTTTGATAAGGTACTCAAGCCGATCACAACACGCAGCTTTTACATCCACGTGGCCATCAACGAATCCGAGCTTTCGTTCACAGAACTCATTCAGGGCTTGGCCACATAAATGGCTGCGCACATGATGCGTTACATGGGGTCACGTGCTCAACGCGACCTCTGTACGCGGAATGAAGACAGACATAAAAAATTTTTTGGACCCCCGCCCCGCCGCACAAGAGCAGAGGGGAGAACCGAAGAAGAGAAGAGAAGAGACACGAAGAGATGTCGGGGGGGGCAGCAAAGGAAAAGACAAACTACTTTTGATAAGGTACTCAAGCCGATCACAACACGCAGCTTTTACATCCACGTGGCCATCAACGAATCCGAGCTTTCGTTCACAGAACTCATTCAGGGCTTGGCCACATAAATGGCTGCGCACATGATGCGTTACATGGGGTCACGTGCTCAACGCGACCTCTGTACGCGGAATGAAGACAGACATAAAAAATTTTTTGGACCCCCGCCCCGCCGCACAAGAGCAGAGGGGAGAACCGAAGAAGAGAAGAGAAGAGACACGAAGAGATGTCGGGGGGGGGCAGCAAAGGAAAAGACAAACTACTTTTGATAAGGTACTCAAGCCGATCACAACACGCAGCTTTTACATCCACGTGGCCATCAACGAATCCGAGCTTTCGTTCACAGAACTCATTCAAGGCTTGGCCACATAAATGGCTGCGCACATGATGCGTTACATGGGGTCACGTGCTCAACGCGACCTCTGTACGCGGAATGAAGACAGACATAAAACATTTTTTGGACCCCCGCCCCGCTGCACAAGAGCAGAGGGGACAACCGAAGAAGAGAAGAGAAGAGACACGAAGAGATGTCGGGGGGGAGCTCAGGGGGGGGACAAAGCATTGCGAGGACCAGGCGCTCTTCCGGCCCGTGATGCTCTTCTACGGCTTCGCCGGGAGCCCCCAGCCCCCAGCAGCAGCCGCAACCTTTAAAGAGAGCGCCGCCGCGCGGAGAGAGCGGCGAGAGAGCGGCGTCAGCTCGCATCGCTCGCGCGCCGCGCGGCGGTTCCTACGTAGGTGCTCGGCGGGCTCTTGAGCGGAAAAACCAGGGCAGAGGCGAAGAGAGATGCGGGGGAGCTTCTGCTGGGGGCGCCTTCGCCTGGACGACTTCGGCCAGGTGCGAAGGAACGTGCGTGAGAACCTGGTTCAGGCGAAGCTGTAGAAAATCCTCGCAGCGCAGTGCCGCAGTGTGCGGCAGCAGGCGCAGGCAAGTAGCGCAGTGCTAAGAAAACCCCTCGTTTCCAGGTGCTGGTGGCCTCCTGGAAGGTCTGGCCGGCAGCTGTGCTCTTCACTCACAGGCCAAACTTGCTTTCCGTTATATAGACAGAGCGCATAGGCGGCATAGGCATATGTAGAGTCGTGATGGGTCATGCATCCCAGCTCGTCACAGGTTCATTCCAAGGCTTTACCAGCCTGGATCTCGCAACGCACGCTGCGCTTAAACCCACGCTCCTTCAGTGTCGCTCGGCACCGTGCTGGGCTGTCTCGAGGTCAACCTTCACGGATGTCCTTGCTTTTTTTTGGGATGCAGCCTGGCTACCATCTACGCTGTCGTTATCCGCCCGGTGCACCGTCTACTTGCTCCAAGGTCTACGAGAGCTCGATGATCAATTGCTGAGATGGAAAAGTGCTGGCATCAGCTGGAAGTCGCACAAGTGGATGCTATGCCACTATGCCACATGCGTCCGCAGTTTTGTTTCTGCTTCCTACACGTAGTGCGAAAGCTGAACACAACCCGGGTGTATGGCACGCAACCGGTGAATCCCAGAAGAGGTGTTGCTTGGATCTGGGACAGAAAAAGAAGGAAGACCTAACGCAGTCCGACGCAGTCCGATGCGCACGTGCGGCGGGATGGCAGTTCGCAGCCTCCGAAGGAGCCGAGACACGGAGGGAGGGAAAAAGACCCGTGACCGTGATGACCAAGGAGCCTCGGCGGGCTGCTCGTTTTCGTGGCGATCATGCAGATGGCCGATACCTGTGCGCCCTGTAGGGCACTGTGATCTCCCAAGCTTTAAGAGGAAGTCTTTGGGTCTGGGGTCTTTGCGTGTGCAGGTCTCTTCGTGTCCCGGCCAGGGCCAGGGGCACCCCCTCCTCTTCCTCTTCGCCGCGCCGCAGCCTGAGACAGGCCGACTGAAAGCCGCTCTTCGCCGCTCGCGCCCAGGCGGTGGTCCTGGCACCGCTGCTAGGGGCGGCCGCTCTGAGCGGTTCTGCTCCTGCGATCGCCGCGGCCAACAAGGCCTCGCCTGCGGCCCGGAGGACACCGCTCGACACCGCTTTCGTCGGATTTTGTGGGCGCCGACCGCCGAGTCGCCGAGGCTCAAGGCAGACCAAGAGAAATTGATTGCAGGCTACAAAGACCTGCAGGGCACTCGCCACCGCCTCCGCCACACCTCCATGCAGCCTTTGTGGTCTGAGGGTTTACATGATGCAGAACTTCAACAAAGTCACAAGGAAGTGCGACAAGAACCAGGCCAGGCCAGCTCCAGGGATCGGAGATCGGATCGATTGAGCCCCCTTATGGAGGACAAGATCTCGCAGCCTCTGCAAACCGGCTTCGTAGGGGGCCTGGCGAGCATCGCATTCCTGCTCCGCATCGCGCTCTGCGGTGAGTCGAGGCGGGGCCTGACAGCTGCCTGGCGCAGCCCTTGCAGGCGGAGAAAGGGCGGAGCAGCGCTCTCTCCTCTCGGCTCTCTCGGCTCTCTCGGCTCTCGGCTAAGGTGAGGAAGTACTTGGGACAGACCTCCATCAAAGCGAACCTCTTCGACACCAAGCAGATGCTGGTGAACTTCGAGGCAGAAGCGGAGTGCTAGGGCCAGGGTCTGCTTTAGAGCGGCGGTGTTGCTGCCTTGCATTGCCCTGCATTGCCTTGCTGCTCAGTTGGCGGGCATGGTCCCCTCGGGTTTGGATGACGAGCCCGCGCCTCGGTGAGGGGACGCACGGAGTTGTGACAGGGCCTGTTTTCAGCCTGTGGAGGGGCGGAAACTGATCTTTTTTCTTTCGAGGTATGGAGATCTGGTGGAGGACTTCGAGAGGTACAAGCGCGAGGTGCAGCCCTCACAGCATTATGAGCGGCTCGCGTGCGAGTTGCCGGAGGCGGACGAGTGGGCGTACTCCTCCAGCTGGGCCGAGGCGAGAGGGATAGAGGCTGATCTCTTTGTTGATAAGCTCTCTGTGCCCGGGAAGAGCCATAGCACTAGCAGAAGTAGCAGTTCTACCACTACCACTGCCACTGCGACTACTACTACTACTACTACTACCACTGCCACTACTACCACTACTACTACTACTACTACTACTACTACTACTACTACTACTACTACTACTACTACTACTACTACTACTACTACTACTACTACTCCTGCTACTACTACTACTATTTTCAATTGAACGCTGCGCGAGCGTGCTCTGCGCTTTGCGGGCGCCTTTGGTCTCGTGCACTCGTGAAACTGCTTCTAGCATGCATCGCTCATACCTCTCTAATCAGCTCAAGCTACTGAAAACTACAGCTACAAGAGCTTCCTCCTCCGACACCTTGGTGTGAACAGACGCGTCCATCTGTGCACCTGTCACAACAATTAGGCCGTACTTCAGACGAAGCCGACACCCGGAGTATCCGTCTCGTGGCGCCCCACACGGATTACTCATGTTGAAGACAGAAGGCCGTAAGGGTCATGTGCTCATGACCGCGTGTACCTGCATGCATCGCCGATGGAATGGCTGTTGGCAACTTGGACGTGGGCAACTCTCTGATGCAGTGATGTGCTGTTTGTAAGCGACTAGCTCGCGGTTCACAGGCTTCCGAAGAGATTTGCTAAGCGTCGGAAGAGGTCCGAATTCCCAGAGTCTGTGACATAGGGGATCAAAAAGTCTGTGACATATCTCTACCCTCACTGGTCGTGACCTTTTGGCCACTGCTGGGAGTAACTGTGCCAGGACCACTGCTGCCACCAGTCCCAGTCGTCCTGTTGGGAGGAGCGTGCCTGCCTGGCCCACTGGGTCGACTACTACTACTACTACTACTACTACTACTACTACTACTACTACTACTACTACTACTACTACTACTACTACCCCTTCCCCACCCGGTGCGACGCCCGTCCCGTCCCTGAACATGTTGTTCATGAAGACGTGCAGCGTTTGCAGCTGCTTTGGCCCAACATGAAGTTGAAGCGCTGCAAAGGCAAGGATCGGCCGCATAGATGCAGCCAGTGCGGACGGATGGGGCATCGGAAGGACAGTCGGAAGTGTTCTTACAATGCAGGGCCCACCAGCGAGAAGGCGGATGCAGCTGATTTGGCTACATATGCGCCGCCGTACCTGAAGTGCATGTGTCGACTGAGTTTCCGAAATCCAGAACAAAAGTCCCGTGGGAACACTTGCAGATGTCGGGTCTGGGATTGACTTGAGCCTTGAGCTTCCTCTCAACATGGAGCGTGCAGTCCTAAGTAGGAAGATGATGACAAGTACCTTAAAACCTCAAGCTTCCACCCCAAGCGCTAAATGTGACACCGATGACGAGGATGATGATGATGATGGTGCTGATGATGCTGATGATTCCTTTGAGCTAGAAACCCTTAAGAAGACAGCCCTTCTTTTGCACCTGCGAGGAAAAGCTGCTCGGAAGCTGTTGGCAAAGCACACCACCATCAAGGCGGGTGAAACATTCCTGCTTCTTGAAGTCAGAGGTGCTGAACGCCTCATTCGCATCAAAGACTCCCACACATATCTGGGCACAATCATCGCATACCAGGGGAGAAAAGGACCTCAACCTCAGCCACAGAATCTCGGCCGCCCAGGCCAGGTATCAACAGATACGGAAGGTCTTGAATGGGAAAGGTCCCATCAGTACCAGGCACAGACTGCGCCTCTGGCAGGCATGCATTCCTCCCTGCCTGCTCTACTCCCTGGAAGCCACAGGATGTACAGTGGCTGGCCTGCAGCACCTCAAGACTCTGACCACACCAGGACACCCACCTCAGAGGTGTGGGCCCAGGCACGTCTGCCTCCTCCAGAGACTGCCCTGCTCTTGCGACTTCGACACCTCTGTCAGCGCAGGGACCCTGCTATAGCACAGCACGGCCCGGACCTTGTCTCCAACGACGGTGTTGCTTTGCAATTAGCCTCCCTCCTCAGTCGGCTTGAAGGTCAGCTCCAGACCATGCAGACGCAGGCACACCAATCGGAGCAGGAGCTTCACAATTCTGAAGTCTTTGCTTGCCAGCACTGCGATCAGACGTTTCCGACTGCTCATGCTAGAGTAATCCATCACTCTATAAAGCATCCTGACCTGGACCCGCCCGAGGACATGCGACAGAGGCCCGTTTTCTCCGCTCCTGACCACGCGGTCGGGGGGCTTCCTACGTGCAAGCTATGCGGCCGTAATTTTCCTCGGTGGCAGCAGCTGCAATTGCATATTACCAATGGATCGTGCCCTCAGCTAGGTGGCTCCAGTCATATCCTTAGCCAGTTCCGGAATCCAACTCTGCGATGACTCAGCCTGCCCATCTTCCCATAGCAGACACAGTAGGCACAGAGCTCACCACGGACTCCGCTACGGCGGGCTCAGCGACTGTGCCAAAAGAGGACCTCAGCATTCCACTTGTCCGGCAAAGCAGCTTTCTCGACAATCTGCATAACTGGGAGAGGTTGTTGGACGATCGTCACTCCAGACATCGGCTCAGGAGCCATTGTGTAATCTGTGGCATGCGGATTGCAGATGCTAAGCACATCAAACAACACTTCCGACGCACACACATGCAAGACTACCCTAATGCCCTCTCGGATGCCCATAAACTTTGCCTCCCCTTTAAGGGTCACTTCACACGCAACAGAAGTTGCCGATACTGCGGAAGCAACGTTGGGGCCCCGTGCAGGCATGTTGTTCAGTGCTCGGTTTTACACCAACTATGTCTTGCGGTAGCCGTGGGTCGGGCCGCCAGGCAGTGTCAAGATGACGGACCTCGAGGCGGAGATCTTCGCACACTGCATGCCATCGGGAGCTCAGGCCATCATGCAACTTCCGGACAGCAGTAATCTGCCCAACAAGCGACAACGACCGGAACAGGGGAAACCGTTTGGCCGAATGATGGGTCGCCAGGGCTACCGACAGCCCCAGCCATCATACACGGCTCATCCTTTTCAGCAGCCTCACGTGGCCTCGACACCTTTTGGAGCTCAGCAGCCCCAGGACGGCCATCTTCGTCTACTGAGCAAGATCGTACTGAAACAGGAAGAACAACTATCGCTCCTCCGCAAGGACACACAGTTTGTCTTGTTTCTGAGGCAGGACGACAAGTCGATTCTGCCGGCTCTGATGGCTGCTTCGAAGGAATGGAAGGCCAAACAGGAGGCGGGCGAGAACCTTCAGTCTTCTCAGCGCACTGTTCTGCTGAACTGTCTTCTTCGCGAGCTTCTGGCTCGTGTGCAGAGGGTAGTGGCCACGGCACCCGGCCGAGAGTCACTCAAGAAAGCCGAGTGGCTGAAGGACGAGAACCTGTGGTCTTATCTTCGATGGGCTCCGAAGCAAAAGCGCCTCGTGGTCGACGACAGCAAGGAGCCGCTTCTGCACGACGAGGCCGTGCGCATTCTGTCAGAACTCCAGAAATCCATCACAGGGGACATTGTGACAAAATTCAACAGTACGGTGAATCTGGCAAGGCTGGAGGAGGAGGGCTCAGGAGCAACGGAAGTCCACGAGCAGCTATGCAAACTTGTGGGGTCATCGATCACCAACCTCGCAGCCTTCAGCATGAGAAAGACGACCTCCTACGCACACCACAGGCGAAACAGCTGGCTCAGCTGACATACGGCGGAGGCCTGCTCTCTCTGCTCCCCCGTGCACGCGGGAGGCACTAGGTACATCCAGACTGCCTGATGTTGCACTGCCCAGACTCTCCCTCCTTAATCCTGGGAACCACTGTTACATGAATGCATGTGTGTTTTGTTTGGCCATTCTGGAGAAATGGTCTCAGCACAGAGCACTGCCAGCCTCATTCACTGATTCCTGGGAAGCTCGCAGACAGCATCCAGACTCAGGCGGGGTGCAGCGCACAGATGGTGCCCATCTTGCCAGATGCCTAAACCTGAGTAATCTCGCGCTGGATTCTCCTGATATCCAACGGCTCATAACCAGGTGGCATCTTCAAGAGGCTCTTCATGCAATGAACAGCCCGGTCCCCTGGGAGGGTCGTAGCCAAAAATAACCATCCGATCATCTTTGCTCAGGAGCTTTGGGTGCCGGTGTTTGCCACGGCAGACACGCTTCAAGTCAAGTGGCAGCCTTATCGTCTGCAAGCCAGTGTGATTCACCATGGGCTATGGCCCAGCTCAGGCCATTACAATGTTCTGAGATTTTCGGGGACCCGTCGTCACCATGTGCTCGACGACGACAAAATAGTGACGCGTGCATCGGAAGCACTCATGGATCTAGCTTCTGGGAATGCCTACATACTAGTTTACACTCCAGCAGATGATCCAGTGCAGCACCTCCCAGCTCAAGCGTGCGATCAGCCACATGTCGGACCAGAACAACATCTTCTTGCTCCGCAAGTACGGCGACAACTGGACTGCGGCTCACTTGAGTTTGATAGAGTTTCAACTCAAGGAACTCGAGGCGCAGGTGATGGTGATGCAGAAGCATGTGGACAACATCCAGGCTCAGATGCACTCCCTTCAACTCCTGGTGAATCGTCACAGCTACTTGTACGGCAACAGAGTGATCAACAAAGCTCGCATCGTGAAGATCCGGTACCTAGACACCCTTGATGACTAAGCCATCAAGTGGCATCGTTCAAGCGAGTGGTGCAAAGCACCGAAGGGCGCCCCGGCGCCGTGTTCCCTTATGCCTTATGGGCATTCGTGCCAGCCATATCATTGGCCGGTACTGACAATAGCTCAGTACAGTACTGTATCGGCACTCGCTAGCAAGACACGGGACGCATCTTGCTGAGGTGGAAGAAGATTCCTTTGAGCAGGCTCCACGGCCCGAGACTTCGAGCGGGCCCCCTGGTTGGGCTTTCCTTTGGGTTTGCTTGCTCTGGGTTCTTCCCTTCGGGGTGCAGGGTATATGCGAAGCCATGGGCACTTTCTGATTTCTCCTGTGGCTGAGTCCCCTCACCAAGGAAGCCATCAGCCCAGGAGTCACCAATGCCTGCGGAAGCCGCTGCTGGCCAGAGCCGGAGGGCAGATGATCCTATCGAAGATCCCACCAGCGAGGCGGGTTCTTCAAGCAATGACTGACGACGACATCGATGACATCGAATGTGCCACCTCGAGCAGCGCCGAGCTCCCAAGCATTGTGTCACTTGTGCTTACAGGGCCCCCGCTGGCCAGGGCCAAAGACCTGGCCTGCAACTTGCGTTGACAAGAGCTGTTGGCAGTGGAGCCTCTCCTCCACAGCCGTGCTCTTGGAGCAAAGATCGGATGGGCCACGAGGGCGCTTCAACACAGAGGCTGGGCAAGCACTCGCTGGTATGTGGAGCGCTTCCTTACGGGAACGCGACTCCGGCGCTGGATGGAGTTTGTCGAGGAAGAAGCACATGCGCCTCGAGACGAGCGACCGGGTCACTGATATGCTCTGCTGCTGCTCAGCGGCCATTGGTCGGCCCAGCAGTCTTTGCAATGTGCGCTATCAGCGACCCAACAGCATACATCCACACATGCCCCCTGGTCGACCTAGTAAACCCCTTAAGAAGCATAGGCCTCTTATAAAGCCCACAACCCTACATGCTGCCAGAACCCGAGAGCATCCATCAGCTCTCCTTGTCCCAGGCATTCTACCCGAAATCCTGTGCCCAGGGTGCCACATGGTCGGACCTCCCACCAACGCCTTAAGTCCCACACCAGCCATCCCCTATCAGGGCGGTCCCAAGTCCGCTGGCTGTTGCTCTTCAGCGTACTACAGCTATCGTCTGCAGCTGGAGCGAGGGTTCCACCTAATGCCGTGGTAGGTGGGGGACTTCATTCCTCGGAATGGGGAAAGCGACACGGCACAGCGCCAAGAGAAGGCCACAACATAGGATCCTATATCCCCAAAGCCACCAAACGAGCATATCGTCGTGCCAGGAACAGAGCAGCCAAGTCAATGGAAGGTGGGACCTTCTAGGGCAATGGCATACGTCTGCCTCCCTTAATTGACCCTTCCCCATTCCTTAAATCCTCTGCCCGCACTCGTGTCCTAGGGAGCACCAGGCACCCGATGGTCAGGGTTTTTAGTTGGAACACGGGAGGTCTTTCGGCCACCTTTGATGCTGTCATCCTACAGGAGACACACTGGCAAGCAAGCAATGACTTCAGGAGTGGCAGTGGTTATGCACCCACTCCTCGGGCTATGCTTCGGACTTAGCCGTGGATAGACACGGGGGTATACTCATTATGCTGCGCCAAGATGTGTTTCAGGATCCAGCTGTTCATGAGACATATCCAGGTCGCTTGCTACATGCCAGAGTCCTGCATAAACGGAGTCAGCTCAACATTGACATACTTGGTCTTTATCAACATGTACACCGTCCTCATCTCACGCCTGATCTCAACCAAAAGTATCGAACTGACACATGGAGCAAATTCACTGTCCTGCTCAATCGCTTGCCCCAACGCAACCCGCTTATCCTTGAAGGAGACTTCAACTCCCAGCTTGGAGTATGCCGGCCCCACGTGGGCACATCACATCTGGCTGCAGGCCAGAAAGGGGATAAGCCAATGACAACATCGCTTGAAGCATCATACAAAGTGACTGTGCGTCGCATCTCTGTGCCTGGGGATGAGATTTTCTTCTGCACTCGTGCCGAGGAACGAGGTACGACCGTGTATGCTAGCGCTAGTATCCTTGTGTGAAACATCGAAGGTGTTTCGGTGGAAAACGTCGAAGGGGTTTTCCCCGTCTAGCGGGAAAGATGGCCCTAGCAGGTGGTACGTGAGCCTAAGCCCACACGCTGCTACGCGGGTCCACCAGTAGCTAGCACAGGATAGCCCGAAGGTCCCCACCAGATTCACGTAGACCGTCTGGCTGTCGGGGTCCCCCGGTATAGCTTCCTCGGTGTCGATCTGACACCCCAGATAGCCATGCTCTCCCTCCGCATGCTTGTAGCGTGGGTGGGCTTTAGCGATGTCGCCCACCACGGAGAAGGCCACCTCGTTAGCGTCGATGTGTTCCCGGAGTAGCTGCTTCTTCTCCCTAGCCCCCGGGGCTCGGATCTTGTCGCGGCACTTGACGCGATGGTTGACCCGAACCGACGTTGCTAGGAGGGGACGATACCGCGGGGGCTCCCTCGTGAGTCCCGCAGACCCCAGCTAGTGACCCGCAGCCCGAAGAGGCGGCTGTGCTCTTCGAGGGCTGGGAGGTGGAGGCAGAGCTAGATGCGCAGGCTACGGTCCAACAGGAACGTAGCATCCCTTACCAGCCGTGGCTATGCACGGCTGCTTCCAGGACGACATCACCTGGAGGGCCCGGATGCCACCGCTACCGGTGTCGAGAGACGGAACCGAGGAAGCCACGCACCAGCCAGAGGTGCCGCTAAGACCTCCCCCCGGGGAGCGGAACCGGAAGGTGCTACAGCCGGGCACGATTGGTGCCGCTAGGGAAGAGCGACTGCTGGAGGTTTGGGCAAGAAAGCTCCGTGAGGAGCTGCTAGAGATACACGCACCTGTCCTCGCTAAACTGCATGGGAGCTTGGACCCCGTGCGGGCCGCTATGTTGCTTCCAGGGAAGACGAGGGCTTCTACTTTGAAGCGCTACCTGAGCTACTACAGGCAGTGGCGCCAATGGCTCCACGCCGCTAAGCTCAGGCCGCCCCCGGGCACCGCCGCTGACTTGGTGGATTACCTCCTCGCTAGGAGCGATGAACCATGCGGCCGGTCGGTTCCGGAAGCCATTCTCAAGGCTATCTCCTGGATGGAGAAGGTGGTCTGGGCTGCTAAGGATAGCATCGTGGAGCAGCTAGCGGAGGGGGCTCCCTTGATCAAGAGAGCCCCGCGCTACCCTGTCTACATGCTGGTACAGCGGTCGTGGTCAATGCCGCTCTGGCCGTGGGCTAGCGAGTCTGGGCCTGGGCTAAGCTGGTCAAGGTCTGGGCTACGCTATCCGGAAGACGAAGACTTCCGGCGCTACAAGGAGGGTCAAGGAGCTACCGGTCGTGGTGTCGGAGCACGCAAGAGCTGGCTTGTGACCGGCTTTGATCTCCTGAAGGCCCACGCTAACTACGCCCGGGACTACCTCATGCCGCGACTGGGCCGGGCAGGGCAGCTGGAAAAGAAGATCGCTACCTATGCGGACGCCATGGTGGCAACGGCAGGGCTGCTGGCTATCATATTGGACGGAGCACGCTCAGTGCTACCAACGGGGTTGGCGCTAAAAGAGATCCCCCCGCAGGATAAGGATCTGCTAGGACGTTGGAGGCCCGAGGGTTCCGATGTGTACGCTAGATCCTATGTGGGTAGGGTGTCCCGTCTCCAAGCCCTTTTCGCTGAAACGGCTAGAGGGGAGGACCGCTACGAGGCGCTAGACGAGCGCGAAATCGCGTACTTCGACGATCGGTTGTTTAGTACTTGAGTAGCAAAGTTGAGGGAATTATACAAATGCGATAGTCATGGTTAGCAAGTTCGCTAAGTCATATTTAGTGGAGTTAATAAGACCTACATCTATAGTAGTTGCATTACAGTAATTAGTACTTGTGTTGAAGCAGATACTATTTGAATACAATGTAGGCTATCTGGATAGCATGGTTATGCTAGGACTTCCGTGAGTTAGCTAAGTCCAAACCAGCACAGATAGTGGAGATAGGATAAACATTCTATGTCACATGTGTA